GTAACGCATAATTTATTCAGACACACTTGATTTATCTTCATTAAATAAATTTAATAGCGAGATAAATAAGGGAAAAATAAAAAAAGGCACGACTCGGTTACGTACATAATTTCAGCAGAGCTCCAGACCTGTCGTCTGCGCCAGAGATTACCACGCCCCCTGGCTATTGTTGCTGCAGCTAGGTTGTTAGAACACCAAACTGTCGAGATTGTGCTTTGCTGCTCCTCTTCGCTAAGCATTGTCTTTTAGAACAATGGTTGGTTAGAGCTGCCTATCTATTACGTGGTGCGGATTAGTAAAAAAAAAATAAAATGTCTTGTGCTGAAACTTTTCCATTGTTCATTTGCGTTACTGCGCATGTTCGACGTAAACGTGCGACTCGACGAAAAGAAAAGATCGACGTTTATTTCTATTTCGTAGCTCGAACGCGAACCGCATTTGTTTTCAAAAAACAATAGCCGATATTCGTTGACTAATAAAGTGGTAGTGACTAATAAAGATAGGACTATTAAAATAAATTTGTGTTTTTTCACTCTTTATGCGTAAATCGCTGCACTGTCTTTCCCGTCTTGTTATTCTATTTTATTGAACAAACAGCGACTAACACATCCGACATCCCATAGCGAGCACTGACTAATTAGTGCACGTATACAGCAAGTCAAATCGCCCAGATATTTTGTGGATTTTTAAATGGTTTACGTACATTTTATCAGGTAAGGTCATAAGAAGATTAGTACCGATTTTTTTTTAGAAATAGACCTCATAATATATTAATTAGGCCTAATGTTACGGTCAATTTTTGATAACATTTTTTCTGCCGGGCAGTATGAATGTTTCGTTTTTTTTCTTCTCGCGGTCGAACGCGCGTACACCTTGGTGACCGTGTAATTTCAACCGCCGCGTTGCCATGGTATCGGCCGTAGTTACACAGCGTCGGTATCGGTATCGGTATCGGTATCGACAAGGGTTCTATTCGGCGCTGTGCTCGCTTGGTGACGTAATCCGTACGTGAGTAACTCGTTTGGTGATGTGTGATGACGTAACGGTAACGCTGTGAAAGCACGCGCGTTCGGCGCGCGTACCACGCGGCACGTTTTTTTTATCGCACCCGAGCGCGCGCGAGCGTTTAATGTGCAACGTATCAATCAATCACCACGTATGTACGTGTTAGTATCAGATTTTCCATTGAGCGGCAAAATAAGCAGAGGACTATACTTTATATTATTTGCAGCCTCGGGTATATGTATGTATTTTTGGAGGTGGGTGGGGGGTTAATCTGAACGAAGAAAATGAAAAGCCGGGAAGGAAACATAATAGGCACATTGCGACCCCATCCCCACCACACACACACACACACACACACACACATATCCACACCCACACACACAATTACACATTTACCGCGTGCTGCAGTAACACTGTGACATCGGCTATTTAAAAGGGCTAAAAACGACAGATATTTGTGCACACAAGCACATGGCAATGACAGATCTATAAGTTGTTGAAGCGAGAGGGTGTGCCCATACGTGCCACTATAACACAAAGCTAATACAATAATTTACTTATTTTGCACAGTTGCAAATCATGAAATGTGGCTACCGACTATTGAAAGTTACATATATAGACGCGCCCAAGCGAACGAACACCACTTCATGTTTTTCTTTTACATGTAAATATTATATAATATAATATAACATATAATAATAATTAGAAAATATAATATAATATAAATATATTATATAATGTAATATAACACAAAATATAGATAATATCGATGACGTATGTACGGTACAGCTGGCTCCTGCCTGTATGGTACTCATGCACGTTTCACAACCGTCTCCCTCTCGCAATTCCTCCTCCTCCTCCTCCTCCTCCTCCTCCTCCT